ACTGAGCTATCTCGCCAGCCCCCGATGAGTCTGTTCTTCTCTTTTTCTATTTCCTATTATAGGTGCCACCACCATTGTTTAGTAAATACTCTAAATTAATTAGTATTTTAATAGTATCATAAGCAAAAACAAGCAAAACTTACATTGAATACACCTACTTTGGATTCTTTCAGTTCCACTTGTAACCTATAAAGAATCAGACAAGATTCATAGATTGGGCTTTATACTCATGGGAAGGCAAAGCAAGGGGCTTCCTAGGAGGGAGACAGCATTGGCATGAGAAGGTGGGGTAGGGTGGGGTGAAAAATGATTAAATAACTAAAAGCCACAACACAGCAATATTGGGAAGGCTGAGAGGAGGCGAGGGGTATGAAGGAGCTCAATCGCCATCATTTCAGGTAAATATCGATCTCTAAAATTCGTGCCTTAGGGGAAAATGGTAATTTTTATAATAAATTACTTAAGAAATTTCAAATTTGTTGAGGACTTGCCAGTGGGACAATAGGCTTGGGTCAACTGGAGTGATATTCTCAAGTTGTAGTCTCTAACATCAACAGGATCATATCAAATCCTCCTCCCCATCCCCAACTTCAGAAAAGCAGCCGTGGTGTCCAGATGGGTCCCAGCAGAGCACCCCACTGTGCTTACTTTCCAGGGTCCAAGATCCCAGTGATCCTGCTGGTGTTGAAGTTCAGTGTGGCAGACACATTAGCGGCCTGGAAAAGCCGGTGGAAGGAAAGGGGAGTAAATAATGGAGGTTGTCAAGATTGGGAAGAGCTGCCTGCTCTCAACAAATGGTCCAGTGAACTTAAGCAGGAAATTTTCCAGGTAGATTGTAGGCTCCCAGAAGGCTCATCGTAGGCATTCAATAAATGCCTGAACTTGGCCTTGAACATTTTTACTTGAAATTGTTGACTCCGGTAGCAGTTAGACTTTGAACAGACTACCAAGAAAAGGCATAGGGAACCTATCCCTGGAGGACTCTAAAAAAAGATCATTAGTAGTTATCTCAGGGCCAAGATTCAGCTCTAGCTGGAATAGCAATAAAATATATTTTATTTAAAAATACATGAATAATAAAAACAACTTTGATAATAATAACAGCACTATAAGAAATATTTATACCCTCTGAGAGGAATGGCCCTCTTTCAGAGATTTGACTTGTTGAGTTTCCAGGGTAAAACAAAAAAGCAAAATTTTCCATGTAGTGAGCAGGGACCCTGAGGTCTCAGAATCCCTTCTGTAATAGATGGGGGTACGTTAAGAAAGAAAGAAAAAAAACCCACTCTCCATATTGAATGTGAAGGCAATTTCATGCAAGGAATTGGTTATACAAGTGACATAATTGTGAGAAACAAAAAATTTGGTGAAGCTGCACTCTGGACTATGGGAACAGAGGGTGCATTTGGAATAGTGAGAGCCACCTTGGAGTATACGTAGTCCCTGCAGAGTCTCTTGCTCAAGGGAAAGCAAGAGGAATAATTTTCTGGCTTTTTCCTTCCTCCCAACCTCCACTCTCCTGACCCTGCTTCCTAATGGTGGAAGCCATGGGAAGTCAGAGTGCAAGGGAGTCTGGGAAATGTAGTCTTCAGGGGTCAGCTATAGCTACAGACCAGAGAGAACACAACAAAGATACATCCGTACACCCTCCTCTCCACAGTATCCTTGATTTAGAGGGACATACATACATTAAATAAATAAATCTGCAAGTAGCTAAATGTTAATTTTTTTTGGTAACAAACCTTGTGAAGAAATAATGAGGGGCACAACAACAACAACAAAATGGCAAGGAGTAAGACAGAAGGGGCTCTTTAGGGGAAGTAATATATCAGCTGAGAAAGGAATCAGTCAGGTGGTGAGTAGGGAGAAAAGTATACAGGGAAAGGGAACAGTATTTGCAAAGGCTCTGAACCTTACCACACCAAGCCGGAAGACAGGTTTCTTGACAGAGTTGGGCAGGAGCACAAAGCCCTCAATCTCTATCTGGGGGGTCACGGACAGATTCCCAGGACTCAGTTTCAGGAGTGGAGCAGAGACCACTCCTCCCTGGAGCTCCAAGTTCATATTAGGATACAGCCTGGCTATCTGGGGACAGAAGAGATTATGTCAAGACAAGAAAATAAGTAAGTCTGCAGGGTCTTAAGGATGTCGCTTAAAGCTGCAAAGACTTTTGATTGATTTTGTTCCCCACAGACTGCTCTGTGCCTTTTTGACTTCATAGCTTATTGGACATCCATCTGTGCAGAGGCACCACCATGTGGTTCATGCTTCCCTCTCATTCACTGTCCCATGTATTGTCCTTCATCAATCAACCCTGGTCTACGGGGCATGTTGTCCCCAAGGTGTGGCTCTTTGACCACTCTTTTGAGTGCCCTTGGCTGTTATTTTTGGGCAATCGCTCCTAGAAGGGATGCTGTGTTTGGGTCAAAGGGCAGAGCACTAAGGAAGCTTTTTGCAGGGTATTTTTTTGAGACAGGATCTCACTACGTAGTTCAGACTATTCTTGAACTCACTGTGTGGCCCAGGCTGGCTCCTGCCTCATTGTCCTGAGTGTTGGGACAGCAGGCATGTGCCACCATGCCTGGCTTTTGGCAGGTATTGCCAGTCATTCCCTTGAAAGGTCAAGCTGGTTTTCCCCTCCCTGAGCATTGATGGGTGCCAGTGTCTCCCCATGTCCTCAACGCACGTGAGTGGCAGCCTGTGCTAACACCACACGACAGTGTTGTTAAGCTAGGACACAACCAGATCCTACCGTTTCAAAAGTGTTCAATTTTCTGTGGGCAGAGAATTTAATTTGGGACAGGGCTGCTCCTCTGAGTGGTTGTGTGAATGTAAAATCTATACCCTGCTGAGGATGGAAGGAGTTCAGCTGAGGAGGGAAAGCGCTTTCCTGAGAGGTGTGCAGAGTGGCTTCTTCACAGGTGGTTATGATGCAGCTAGGAAGAGGGAGGATGTGCTTCTGCTCTTCCTGGGGTGAAAGGACTATCCAGGCCAGGGTATGGGCAAGGGACACTCCCAAGGAAGCTGGCTGGGACAATACAGTGGGCTCTAAAGAGAGAGAGAGAGGGGCTATAGGTAGTGCCATCTGGAAGGACAGGACCTGCACTGATGTTTAAATCTTTCCCACCATTCTGATTGCCTTAGACACCACTAAATCTTCTGCAGTGTATTTTATTTTTTTTAAAATGTATTTAGCACAGGGTCTCACTGCACAGCTCAGACTCTGGTGATCCTGCCATTTTAGGTCTCCCCAGCACTGGGGTTACAGGCGTGCACCTCCACACTCAGTCTCGATGGCTGGTTCAGTGCACCTGGAGGTGGGGCTGGTGCGGTTTATGGTGCTGGGCATTGAACCCTAGTTCCTGCACTTGCCTAAGTAGGCGCTTAGTCTGCTGAGAGATCTCACTGGCCCTGCAATGCATTTTAAAACTACCCCTGCCTGAGGTGCACCTGGGAACCTGCAGTTTGGGGAGAGGCCTGGCTGATGTCTATGGGATTCAGTCAAGGAGTGTGCAGGAAGGGTCTGGCCCAACAATGTCAGAACTACCAGGCTATTTAGTGTCACAAGGGTGTAGCAAAAGCCTGGGAAACAACACCATGTCCTTCCATGGAGGACTGGCTAGACAGCCATGGTAAATGAACACCATGGCAGGTTGGATTGTATGGGAAAAGTGAGTAAGCTCTTTGTTTATACCAGAGGGTCTCCCAGATATAGTGGGGGAATATACAAAGTGGTGTATAATAGGCCTCCATTAGTCTAAAAACGGGGGAAAGATACAGCATGTTTGGTATAGACTGCCTATTTCTATGTCTGTCTAGACTCTAAGAGAAGGATGCACATGTTCTTACACTACCGGGAGACACCGATGGAAACTGGGTGTCATACTACTGAAGCGGTAAGGAGACCTTCCATTCCATAGCCTTTTATTGAGCTATTGAGCTATGAGGATTTCTTTTCCATTCGAAAAATAATACGTTTTTAAAGCACCTTCAACATGCTGGATCTCTAGTAAGCCTTCTATCACTGTTAGATGATATTACCTGGAGCCCCCTTTGTAGAACATGTCAGCATTCTTCAGGATTATTTGTATTAAAAAAAATATTGAGGGCTGGTGAGATGGCTCAGTGGTCTAAAGCACCTACTTAGAACAAGCTTAGCAAAGCACAGGGACTGTGGTTCAATCCCCCAGCACCACATGCCAGTCAGCCCCACCCCCTGGTGGGCTGAGCTGGCCACACACATGTGCACAAACACATAAATAAATAAAATTAAAAAAAAAGAAGAGTAAAGAACACTAATGTAGAATAAAAAAAAATATTGAGAAGACTGGACCAACTGCATGGTTCCATGGGACGTGGTGCTTAGGCCTCTGCTACTTGGGCTATGGCGGGAGCCTGCAGTCTGGGGCTCCCTGGGGCCTCTCTGCTGGCATTTTACCGCTCAGTGAAGCAGAGAGGGGCACAGAGGTTTTGGAAGTCAGAGGAGCTCAGTCTGTGCCCATGGAAAGCCGAGGGTGCCTTACCCGGGGGGCGAAGGCTCGAAAGGAGCTGGTGGTCAGTCGGAAGGGAGAGTCAGATGGAATCTGCAACAAAGAGACATAAAGACTTTAAGGAGCAAATGCTGGTAGAGAGTGGGGCAGGCGCAGGTGTTGAGGATGGTGACTTCTCACTGGGAGGGGGTACTTTGATGGTGATGGGAACCCTACCCTGCATTCACCCTGGGCTGAGCACACAAGTCTCCAGAGGCTCGGGGTCCTCGTGTTATGATGACACATGCATCTCACTCAGAGGGTCTTTGAGGGTGAGAGTCGTAAATGCAAATAACTAGCATAGGCTCTTGGCTATGACACGGTGCGACTGTGGGCCTATCTTCCTCTCCTGAGCCTCTTCTGTAAAATCAGATTACAGTAGTCCACACCTTCAGGCAGGGCCTGACACATGGTGCCACAGGTGGGTGTGTGATCATGCATCAGCGTAGCAGGTAAAAGGGGGGGCAGGGTTGTTCCCTAAAGAATGCAACACACAGTCCCTAGATATGCATGTGTAGTTCTAGCAGGGCTCTGTAACATAGACCTCACCCAGTCAGGTTATAATATGTTAGTGTGTTACCATTTAAGGGAGAAAAAGCCACAAAAATTGTATAAAAGGCAAAACTCTGCATTAATCAGGGCTCAGCCTCTTGGGTTTCAGCCCACTGAGTCCATGTGAGCACAAATAAAGTTGCTTCTTTAAAAAAAAAGACTCAGTGTCTCATCTCTCTATTGGAAAAATCCCACTATATATCTTGGGGGCTCGTGTCCAGGATTTGGAGATGGCGCTTTTCCACCTCTTTGATCCCCAGAGTGTGATCCTTGGAACTCTGGGAGTGATGACCTCACCTGGCACCAAGGGACTATTTGATCCACAGGGAGGAGAGGATCCTGGGTACACAACAGAGCCCCGTGAGGTTCAGGAACTAGGTTAGGGAGTGCTACCCATCAGATCGGTGAGAGCCCCAGTTCATTTTGGCTCCCTCAGGAGTCATATCCAGGCCAGGGATTACTAAGCCTGCTGATGCTAAGAGGTGCCTGAAACATCTCCTGTAGGAGAGCAGCGGAGACAGAGAGGGGCAAGCATGCATCTTTTCCATATTGACCTCTCCTTTTCACCTTTTCTTCTCTTGTGCATGAAAGTCATCTGCTATGGAGAAGAGAAGGGTGGAAAGCAGAGTAAACTCCCCTAAAGTGTATGATAAAGAATTTTTAAAAATGATATTCAGGTGATTATGGTGTTAATCTGACTGGCCCAAGACTCTGGACATTCTGTGTCATTTGGGGCAGGCTGGCCTTCTGAGGGCTCCCTTGATGAGGCGATCATGAGCTAAGGTTCAGGACTGTTGTGAGGGACCCAGGCCATCCTGACTAATTTTCTTACATTGACTGTTGGCAAGACGTGGTCCCTTCCCAGCCACTGTGGATTGAGAACTGCAGGATGACGATAGCTAGGATAACAGCTGCCTCCAAATGTTGGTCAAAGTCAAACTGATTCTGTCTGGAGAGCCAGGAGGAGTCCATATGTCTCCATATGCCCCACTGTATCCACCCCTGCCACCGCTACCTGCTGCACCTGCTGCACCTGCTGCAGAGCCCCTGTCTGAGTTGGTTGGCCCTCCAGTGGTCGCTGCTTTATCAGGGTCATCTGAGGCCTCCCCAGAGACCCCACTAATGACAACCTCCCCTGAGCCACCATTCTGATCTCTCACATGCCTGTGGGCACCTGTTGAGAGGACCCCTCTAGCAGACTGATCCTCTGGCACCACGCATCAGCCAAGAAGATGCTGCTTTGAGAGACTCAGGGACCTCTTTACTACACCCAACAGGTAAATCCAGAGAGGTGAATGAGTGTTAATGCACCAGCTCTTCACTACTACTGACCTTAATTGGAAAAATCACATGTCTTCATGTACAGAAAAACCCCAGGCAATGACTGACTTGATGCAGTCCATTATCCATACCCACCGGCCCACATAGACTGATGGCCACCAGCTCCTTCTGACCCTGTTCAATGCCAAGGAGCACTGACAGGTTACTCAAGACACCCTACAATGGTTGGAAGAAAATCTCCTGGCTGGAATGCTGGAATCCCAGCTTATGCCCATAGCCATTTTCCTGAAGATCCCCAACGGGACCCGAATGCCAAAGGAGGACTTGCCCTGAATGAACAGTATCAAGAGGCCCTTCTAAATGGTTAGAGGGCCAGAGGAAAAAGAGTTGTGAACATGAACAAGACCTCAGAGGTACTCGAGGGGCTGGAAAGAAGCCCAAGCCTGTTCTATAAGAAGTTGTATCAACGTCCTGTCTGTTTACCCTCTTTGACCAAGAAGCAGATGTAAATGTGGGCAGAAGGCAATCCACCTGGATTAGCCTGAAACATACCTTCAAGAGTATAACTAGAGGGGCTGGGGAGATGACTCAGTGGAATAAGCGCTTCCCTAGCAAGCGCAAGGGCCTGAGTTCAATCCCTGCTTCCACACACACACACACACACACACACAAAAAAAAAAATAAAAATAGAGCAGTTAAAGAGTATAACTAGAGCCAGAGGCAGAACCAATTTGCCCCAAACAATATTTCATCCCTTGCAAGGCACAGACTGGGACATAGAAACAACTGGAGAGACTTCTGAATTACTGCATCCTTCAACCATTCCAGTCACCTTGACACACACCTGTCTTGCCAGTCCAGAGGCTGGGCACAGGTGACTACCAGCCAGTTCAGGATTTGCAAGCAGCAAGCCAGGCCACTGTTACCCTGCACCCGGGTGTTCAGCCCTCTACATGTTCCTGGGTCTTGTGCTCTTGAAGCCGCCTTCTTTACATGTTTACACCTCAAGACAACTTCTGCATGTGCTTGGCCCCACAGAGCCAGCCAATTTTTGCTTTCCAGTGAAAAAATCCAAAACATGGTGACAATGGCCAGCAGACCTGGACAAGGCCACCCCAAGGATTCAAAAATTCCCTAACCATCGTTGGTATGGTATTGACTACTGATCTAAAAGCTTTCCTGGTGGACCAACATGGCTGCGTCCTGCTTCAGATGACTCGGAAGCTCTCGGGAAGATTGCATAGAAAAGAATCAACAGCTCCTTATTGTCGGGAGGCCAGCTACAAGCTCTCTAGGAGAGACCCAAATTTGCCAAAGGTCAAATACCTCAGTTTCAATTTGTCACAGGGGCAGCTCCAACTCATGTCTGAGAGGAAACAGTTTGCTCATTCCGAGTCCCGACGACCTGATCCTAGGTCCAATAGTTCCTTGCACCACCAGTTTCTATATAGTGTAGATACCTAGCTTCTCAGTCTCAGTAAAACCCCCTTATGAAGTCACAAAAGGGAGGGAATGAGAACCTCTGTTATGAGAATAAGTATAGCAAACAATCTTTAAAAAAATCAGAAAGGTCCTGACCAATGCACCTGGCCTGGGGCTTCCAGACATGACTAGACCTTTCTTCTTTATGTTAATAAGCTCACTGGCACCACACTGGGTATTTTAACCTACATGGGGTCATGACATTGGCTGGTGGAATATGTCTCCAAGCAAGTGGGCTCTGTTGCTCAGGGCCGGGAACCTTGTTTTTGAACACATGCAACTAAAGCCCTCATGGTGGCAGAAGCTGACAAACTGACTATAGGACAAGAACTGACAGTCCGAGTGCCACACTCCACAATGACATTAATGGAGTACAGAGGACAATTCTGGCTAACTAATGCGTGGATGATCAGATACCAGGTGATGTCATGTGAAAACCTGAACATTCACCTAGAAATAGTATAGACCTTGAACCCAGCGCCCTACTGCCTGTCAGGCCAGGCTAGCCAGATCATAACTGAGTTAAGGCTTTGGATGAGGAATTTTCCAGTCAACCAGACCAGATGACCAGTCCCTCAAGGACCCCAAAGCTGAGTATTCTACAGATGGTAGCAGTTTTGTAAAAGAGAGAGACTACCTTGCCGGGTACTCTGTGGTAACCCTAAATTCCGTCATTGAGGAAAGTCTCTGCAAAAGGGGGCCTTGACATAAAAGGCAAAATTTATCACACTAACTTTCACCTTCTAATTGGCAGGAGAGATATGTGTTAATATATATACAGACTCTAATATACCTTCACCACCCTCCACATGGTGCTTTATATAAAAAAGTGTTTAATAAACTCAAGAGGAAAAGTAATATAATATGGCAGAGAAATCCTTGAACTCAGATGCTGTGTGGCCCCTCAAAAAGTAGCAGTCATATATTGCCAGGGACATCAAAGTAGAGACAACAGCTGCCCAGAGAAACTGTAAAGCACACCGGAAAGCAAAGTTCACAGCCTCCAAAAGAACAACAAATCGAAGACTGTGGCTGCCACACTGTTCCCTAGTCTGCTGGCAAAATGGGGCCCCAATTACTCAGAGTAAAGAGTGCTTGATTTAAGGTCATGAATGAAGGCTACTTCCCAGGTGGATGGTAGAAACTGAAAGACGGCCAGGTAACAATCCCTGAGGCACTGGCTCCAGCTTTTGTCAGAAAGTTTCATCACCTGTATAAGCCAGTCAGCTCTCAGGACCACCATGGTCAGCATTTCTATGTCCTACAGCTCTCTGGCAAAGCCTGAGTAGCGTGTGAGTGTGTGAAACATGTGCCCACAACAGCCTGAGTCAAGGACCCAAAGCTGCTTCTAGGCTAGCGTCAGGGGAGCCCTGTTTGAATATGTGGCTGTAGACATCACTGAGCTTTCCTGAGTCTGTGGCTATGGGTACTTGTTAGTCTCTGTGTACACCATCTCAGGGTAGATAGAGGCCTTCTCCACCCCACAGGAAAAGCACCTGAGGTGGCCTGATTTCTTTGGAGGAAAATCATTCCCTGTTTTAGAATTTCTGTTACCCTAGAGTCAGACAACAGGCTGACATTCGTTGTGGAGATGGTGCAGCTGGTGGCCAGAAGAATGAAGACCGTTTAGAAGCTGCCTACAGCTTACTAGCCCCAGAGCTCAGAAACAGTAAAGCAAGCGAACCAGATTCTCAAGCGCTAGCTGTCAAGAGGCTCACCTGGGTGGTGACCGACTCTTGCCAACAGCCCTGCTGAGGATGAGGTCTAGTCCCACTAAACAGTTGGGGTTCTCCCCTTAAGAAATTCTCTATGGGTGGCCTCCTCTTATTGGAGAAATAGTGATTTTAAAAGAGCCTAAAAATCTTGCCCTGAGACAACAGATATGGGAATGGGCTGAACCTTAGTCACTCTACACCAATGGGTTGAGGATTAACTGCCCGTGAGTCTGACCACACTCACTCATTTAAACCAGGGAGTGCTGTGTGGGTAAAAGACTAAAATGTCCAACACCTAAAGCCCCTCTGGGCCTCAGGTGAAGGGGCTGTAAATACTGCATGGGGCCCAGGGGCCAAGGGACCACCACACAAACAACGTCCCTGTCAGGCGCTGTCCCTCCAAACTACATGTGCCACTTGGATCCAGGGACAGCACTTGTCAGTGGCTACTCTACAAACCTGTTCCTATGTAGACAGAGGAGGAAATCTGAGCTGCTTCCTGCAGCCCTGTGAGCAATAACAAAAGATGCAAGACCCGAAAAATCCCTTAGCTGGGGCTGCTGAATGAAGACACACCCACAGGGTGGAATACTGCCCAGCTATGAACCAATGAGATTTGTGACCAGCGCCATTCTGGACAGCTCTTAGGCAGGACCTACAACACACCTGTACTTGCTCTCCTAGGCCTGTGCTTGCTCTCATAAGTGTCCATCCAGAGACACATGCCATTGGTACTGGACCATTCACAGTGGCACAACTCAGGATGGTGTAAAGTGGCAACTACACAAGTGACCTTCCACAGTAGAGCGTACGTTGGGTAGGGGGACACTGATCAGTGTCTACCACAGAGCAAGGCTAGAAAACTAGATCTCTATTAATCTTGTAATAGAACAGGGTGTCCCAGTTCTATCTCTGGGGTTTGGCTTCTCAAGACCTCAATTATTGGAGAAAACTGCATTGTCTGATGGGGAAAAATGTTTACGATCCCTGTTGGAAGCCTAACATACCTAAGTCAAAGATTTATAACTCAATTGCCCATTAAACGCAATGGTGGGGGCCTCCAGATTACCTTGAGCTGGATCCTCAGCCCTTGTCTAATTTCTCCCGTCTTCAAAACGCTTGGGACAACGTTAGCATAACCATCAAATGGTGATCCCAGATGGACTACCCTGCACCCTCCAAAACCAGCCAGGGTCATGTGCTTCAGAAACAGCCTGTCCATCTTTCGTCTACTTTGATTTGCCAGAGAAAACATCTGGAAGTCCAGGTATATTGGGACAGAGAGATCTAAATGCAACAATGTACTCTACAGATCGGCAACTAAAAAGATGATAAATGGCCTCTTGAGTGTATGATCCAATATTACGGTCCTGCCACCTCGGCAGAGGTTGGGTCTTGGGACCACTGTACCCCTATTTATGTGCTAAATCACATAATCAAACTGCAGGCAGTTGTAAAAATTATGACTAATAAAACTGATAAAGCTCTTAATTTACTAACCAAACAGCAAACCAAAATGCGTCATACTATCTATCAAAGTTGGTTGGCCTTAGATAACTTGCTTGCTTCTGAGAGTCTTCTGTTATAAATCATTCTATTATAAAAAGTTCAATCTGGGGCTGGTGAGATGGCTCAGTGGTCTAAAGCACCTACTTAGAACAAGCTTGGCAAAGCATCAGGGACCGCAGTTCAATCCCCCAGCACCAC